TTTATTCATGAATTAAAATAGTTCCTTATCACTCTTCTATGCTACTAAATCTTATGGGTAGAATATAATGATGAAGTTGTTTTAAATGGTATTTGTTTACTAAAATAATTTCATCTTATTTTTAAATAATTTTCTGAACTTTAAAAATAATGTATTTAATACTATTGGAAAGTATATTATTGAATATCTTTAATATTAAACTAACAAATATCTATGAAGAATTATTTTGTGAGAGTCTTTTTTGAGGGATATTTTAGTGTACTACCTAGAAATTATGAAGTATTTTATTGAAATTTAATAAATAGAAACTTTATTTCATATGATGTATGTTCCAAAAAATGGCCCCAAAGAGGCTTCTTCAGTTCTCCTCAGACACTTTAGAAGAGATTTAGTTAATGGTCCCAGTGGCATGAGAAGGTCAAGGCATACCAGCAGACCTGTTAGGAAACCCTGCTTCAAAGATGACAAGCATTTGGCTGCTCTCTGCTCAACTCATTATGGCTGAAGTTTATCTTTTGGAAAACAAATTGTCAAAGCATGAAAGTCACAAATCAATTTACAGATGTTTAAATTTCAAATGTGAATTTTATGACTAAAGACAATCTAATTACACATAAGAAAAACATAACCAAGTAATTGTCTTAATATCAAGTAAACATCATCATTTATATTAAATCAAATAGATCATGTTCAGTTAATTAGAAATTTTCCAGATGTCACCTTCAAGATGCCTATAAATTCTTAATAGGAAAATAGAGTTAAGGTTTGGAATTATTTATGTACCGAAAGAACACAATATAAACTTTTTGTCAGCAATTTCATTAAGTTTTATTTTTACTTTAGGAATCTTTTTCCTTCCTTTAAATTTTAAGGCATGTAAAAAAGAACACATCAAAAATTATTTTTTAAGTCAAGAAAGTGTTTCTATTTTTTTAAAAACACCTCATGCTCAAAGCATGGTCTCTGATACTCATTCATTTGCATGAAATTTTCTTGTTGAGACAGGCAAATATTTAATTTAAACTGTTAGGTAGTTCCTTCCAGTGAACTTTTTATTCTCAGCAAAAATTGGGGGAGGGATCTAATACCATAGCTTCTGCACTTCCTGAAAAAGAGTTAATGGAGAGTGATTGATAAGCACACTTTCCAGAATTATATTCTGTCATTGTGAAACAACACTCATTGCTGAAGGGAAGATCGGTAACAATTAAGTTTAATGTGCCATGTTCTACAGGTCCGGCTTCACAAGTGATTAAGTTGCTGTCATCTATCTCTACATCTAGTGACACCTGTTGTACAGATGCACAAGATATGAAAAGGGAGGTAAGTCTTTTTTATGTAAAAAGAAAAAAAAGGCCCTTTCACCCTTAAAATACATACCCATGTGCATCCAACAAATGTTTATTGCTTTAATAAGCACAGCAAGGTAATTCTACAATTACCAAGGTAATTCTACAATTACCAACATGGCTATGTTCAACCTTCAAGTAGGGCCCTATTCACATCATCCTAGCCACTAAGAATCTACATTTTTTTAAGTCTTTTTCAAAAAAAAAAAAAAAATGGAAGGGAGCTATTTATATGACATATAAATAGCTCAACAAGACAGTGAACGTCGAAAAAGAAAAATCAGAGATAAAGCTGGGAAGCTTGCCAATTTTATCTATTTCCCTTGCACTAATTTGACAAACTTAATTTTATACCTTCTGTATGCAGGAACCTGCAGTGGTTACCAAATACACCTCAATCCAACTCCAGCTGACTTAATTTTCTGAGGCCTTTAACTTGGAAGGGGGTGTGCAAAGGAAAGGCGTCTGTGCAGAACAACCTGTCCCTCATTCCTTGCCTGGCCTGCTGAGAACAAAGGCTGCTTTGCACAGGCATCCGTGAGCGACCAGCACAGAACTGGTCTGGTCTCAGAAATCACCCCTGTGAATATGGTGAGGGAACTGAAGTGGAGTCAGGCCAACAGGGGGTGGCATTTCTGTGGTAGCTCCTCAGTTTCCAGGATCCACGGGCCTCCACCCTACCCCGCCCCTTTTGCAGGTGCCCAACCCTGCCTTGTGGTCAACTGTCTTACAAAGAAAGTGGAAATCACTCCTGCAAAAGAGTCTACCTTTCATTATTTAGCAAGAGTTTGCTCCGCAGCTTCTGGGCTAGACACTAAGAAAAAAAATTAAACTTTTTTCCTATGTGTTTGGAAGAAAAAGAGTAAGAATAAAACCATCCATTTTCCCCCACTTCTTTCCGATCCCCGACCCCGTACAGGTTTCCAACCTTTGAGACCGGCTCCACCCTGGGACGTGCTGCCCACGGTGCCTCATGGTCCCTTGTCCCATGCAGTCCGTTTGGCTGGCGGCCCCCTGACTCACCGCTGACCACCCGGCGGCAGAAGGCTCCGTGGCTGCAGAGGAGCGCGGCACCCAGGAGCAGTGAGACCACCCGGATCATCGCGGCAAAGCGGCAGCAGCAGGTGTGCGTGGAGCCCAGGCAGCCTCCGCCCGTGGTGCGGCGGGCGGTTCTAACTCCGCAGCCTTCCTGTCTCCCTGCTGGGTCCTAATCCCTCCTCCTGAACCCAGCCTCCAGGGCTCTTGCAGGCATCGCCCTGGGCAAGGACCTGCCGCCAGGCGTGTCTGTGCCACTCGCGAGTGTGCTGAACTAGAGCGCAGAACTTCAGGGGTGCGCGTTTGGGGGTTAGGGGACAGAAGTTAGGAGGTCGTGTATCTGTTCCAGAGGTGAAGCGGGAACCCCAGTTTGGACCCGACAGTTACCCCTGCTTCTCTCCTTGGCCTCTGGATACTGAGCGGCTGAACCCCTGCGCTCTGATAGCGGCTCTCACAGCAGCAGCAGCGGCTCTGCGCTGGAAGCCCGGTCTTATATACCCACATCCCGAGGTTCCGGCCCCTAGCTAGTAATAATTTTTAACTACTTCGTCTCTCCTGCCAGCGGAGCATCCGCAGCCCCTCCCCTAAAAACTGGAGCCACTTTGAAAACAGTCCAGTCAGCAGTCCCACTCCTTCTCTCCCCTCCTCCCCATTCCCTCTTGCCATTCGCTAACAGACTGGATACTCATTTGTGTAAAATGTGACAGCTTTGCTATTAAACTCTGGCAAAAGTTGGATCCATTTGGTTTTCTCAAAGATAAATGTCCACAACGATGCCAAGTCGTGGGGCCTTTCTCTTTTTATGCTAAATTGCTTGATCATATGTATTGCTAGATGCAGGGCAGTAGCCACTGTTTAAAATGGATTGGCAGAGTGGGAGCCAAAACCTACTCAGTGAATTATATACTGTGGCAGGTTTTCCCCCACCTCGGTTCTGCAAATAGCTTATTTCCAAGCAGGTTGTTTGACTAAATTGCCACAGAAGCAAATTGAAAAGAATATTGGAAACATGGTTTTCCCAAATGATTTTGGTCTCACTTTTTGCAACTGGTGAAAGCCATGAAGACAAAATAAATATTCTCACTTCTTGGGAATTTCTTGGATTTCTTTGCAATAATCTGTGACCTAGGGTTTACATTACTAATAAAGCTCATTTTAGGACCTATAAAGGGCTTGACCAGCATTTACCATACCAGTCTACCCAAGGATTGTTCTACCAGTTTCCTGGTGTATTGGAAAAAAAAAACATGAGAGTTTTATCTGTATCTAGTCCATGGTATGAGCCCTGAAAATGCTCTCAAAATGAGCTTTACTAGAATGAGTATTTTCCCATTATGTTGCTTAAATGCACCAGAATTTATTAAATAAAATTCTTTCGTCTTAATAGGTAGTACACCTTCCTCTAACGTCTCACCTTCTTTGATTTTCATCAGTCTTTAGAATAGTCTAAATATTTGTAGTATTGTTTTCTTGGAAAAATGGAACTGCCACTGCCACAGTAAGCACAAATCTTGTAGAATCCAAAAATTTAGCCCTTGGAAGGATTTTAAATATTATTAAAACCACTCTACTTAAGAAAGTAGAATTCCAAAATAATTACAACTATATGCACCCTATCACTTAATGTTTCCTTGTATTACGTGTAAATATATTAATTATTACTGGGCCATAAGCAATTAGTAAATCTGCCTTGTAGAGTTCCTATGAGTCTCACTATAATCTAGATGTCCACAAGAAACACACACTGGTGGTGGAAAACTGACAAATGGAAAACTGACAAAGTCTGAGGGCAGTAGAGGTGTATTTCAGCCTTGGAAACCATGTCAAAGAGGATCACTGTGCTGGCTATGATCAAGGAGCTGTCCTCCAGGGGCTCCCAGTCCAGTGTAGAGAAAGAAATGCAACAAAATAATGTCTATATGATTAAAAAAGCAATACCTATCCCACAAGAGCAAATTAAGTGTAATGTTAGCATAGAGGAATTAGGAATTCATTTGGATATACATTTAAGGGCACTCTTGTGTAGCACTTAAGGTTAAACGTGATCTACATTGGCTTATGACCTCATTATCTTCTCCAGATGCCTGTAGAACTAGGATTCTGATTTGGACTTACTTTCCTCTTTCATGTCATCTAACTCCCAGATACTTGTGTGTAACCCAGACCTATTATGAAATGCCTGTCTTTGGGAAGGAATACCAGTAGTTTGCAAAACAAACCCTGGATATGATTTCCGTATATCCGTAAACTTCTATTGTCTTTAATTTCAATGATGCTTTAAAATCCACCAAATCCTTGAAACCATTATTGGGAAAGCCACCTCATAATATTAGTATTTCAATTTAGTATGGCATATTGTAGGAATAACTGACTCCTCAATATGGTTGCACAACTTTCCTAAAATGTAGATTTGGATGTTTTAGGCTGGAATTATATCAGTTTAAGGTGGCCACACCCCTTACCTAAGGCTGCTCAACAGTCATTCTGGTAGCTGCTTGATTTAGGAAAAATACTCTTTTTAAATATGATGTTTTAAAGGGGTCTGAATAACCAGATAAGCAAGAGTCTCCGTCACTAAAAACCATCTGGGTGGCTCATCATTAAATTTTGGGAGACTAGAAGACTGGTTTGAGTAGTCTTACGTGTAGAATTTAAAAGTATTGGATACTCTTTTTGGAGAGCACAGGAGGAATTCCCTTGATAGCTTTTTCCCCACACACAGCATAGTAGGGAATATAAATTTAAAACTTGCCCCAAATTTTCTTTTCTTCTTCTTTTTTTTTTTCTTTTGGTACTGGGGATTGAACTCAGATGCACTCGACCACTGAGCCACATCCCCAGTCCTATTTTGTATTTTATTTAGAAACAGAGTCTTACTGAGTTGCTTAGTGTCTTGCTTTTGCTGAGACTGGCTTTGAATTCCTGATCCTCCCGTCTCAGCCTCCTGAGCTGCTGAGATTACAGGCATGTGCTCAAATTTTCATTTTTAAACAATGTTTTGAAGTTATTAAAGTGGGCAAAAAGCAACAAATATTTGCTTTTTGTCAGCAAATGATCTTATATGTAAATGATTTTTTTTTTCATTCCCCACTGTGGATGCATGATGGATCATAGGAGACAATGGCTTTCTGATAGAAAATGTAAATTAGTTTCAGGCTGGGCCTCTAGCTCAGTTGATAGGGTGCTTGCTTTGCATGCACAAGGCCCTGGGTTCAATCTCAAGCACCCCCCCCCCCCCAAAAAAAAAAAAAAATAAGTTTAAAAAAGACCAAAAAAAAAAAAAAAAGTATAAGTATCAGAATTCACTGTGTGCATATCAATCATAAGATGAAGGACTTCCTTAAGGGCAAGCAAGAGACCCCAGTGTTTGTAAGAAATTGTCTATGCCTGGAGCTAGGACCCAGGTCAGCTGAAGCCAAGATACAACAACGCCATGTGACTGGCAACCAGGAGAGAAGCACCCCCTCAAGGAGAAGCTCTCTGCCCAGTAAAATTTAAAAAAACAAAATAATAATAATACAAAAGAAATTTTCAAATGAGAATGTCAAACTGATTATGCCAAGAAATACAACAACAATTCAACACCTATAATCCATCTCTCTCCATGCCCAGAAATAGAAAGGTGACCTCAGTAAAGATGGCCCCAAAGTAATCTCAGACTGAGTTGATCATTGAATTCCCAGACACTTTGTTACATCAATAGAGCAACAGTATTTAAAATCATGAAATATGAAAGCTAGCATCAGTGCCTTTAATAGCATACTATGGAATCTGGGTACCTAAAATATAATTTGCTTCTTTACTCTCCCCATTCACTTTCAGATGTTTGCAACCCCCAGTGAGCCTGAATTCTAGGCTTTGATTTGCATCCAGTGGCTTCTCTTTGGACACCTTTACACAGTAGCCTCAGCCTCATTCACATAAAGGTTCATTCATATGTACAATGGTCTATAAAGAATTTGTTTAAATGCACAAATTATCATAATTTTATATTCATATACTTGAAATGTCATCAAAAATTAATATTAATTTTTTTTTCATTCTGTCACACTTCATTTTATGATGATTAATGATTCTCCTAAGCACTATCCATGATATTGCCAGTACATAGCAAAACAAATATTTGAAAGTTTAAAAATAAAATGTTACTATATAACAACTACAGCAGAAAGCAAAAATCACTTTTGTTGTTGTTGTTGTTGTTCTAGGTAATGGTTTATCAAAACTTACAGGAAAAGAGCATTGAATTTAAACTTTTTCCTCTCGAATTTTTACAGACATCTTAGCATCTATGCAGGCATATAACTAGCTCAAATGCAAGGATGTGCAGACAGTTAAATTCCCCTGAGATTCTCTTGTTCTTTTCAAAACATGTCTGTGCTGTACAATTCATGACCTACCTCATTCAGGAGCCAGTCCCACTGTTCCTGATAATGGCAGATGCCTAAACCTTCACGAGCTAACTAGGGATTCTCTATTGCTCATAGTGATGTTAGAAATGCAATGAGGAATTATACACAGTACAAAAGCTGTTTATCTATAACTTGAAATTTAAATTTAGTAACCAGTAAGTCTTTTATATGCTATGGCCATTCAGGTAATAAGTAAAAAATATTTATAGATCTCTATGAACAGGAATATAGTTGATCAGATCTGAAGAATCATATATGTGAATTTTTAACTAAAAGTTCACTTAGTAAATTATTATTTTCTTTGGTTCTTTATTAATATAAAACAATTCAATAAATTACCAATATTACCTATCTAGCATAAGTCAATATTTTTACTTTAACTGTAGCTTACTTACTAAATCTGGCCTAAATATAATACATTAATGCAAGAAACCACATTGAGATAATCACACATTTAAAAAAATATATAAGCTAAAGTTATCTTTTCTTACAGTTTCTGATCTTAGTTACTAGGTACTTTACTGACAAACTTTATATGAAGGTGGTTTTGGAAAGATCACTTGACTTGCACAAATATAAATCCAAATTTTTAGGTGCCATCTTTGACAAGTTTCTTCTTCTCTTTGTTTTACTTTTAAAATATGAAAAAGTGATTTTAAAAAGTTCTGTGCTCACCAAGTGGAGAACAGTCTGCCCCAGAAACTCTATTACTATATTACTATATTTCAAAACTTTTTCAAATCCTAAACCTTATTGTTTCCATCCAGAATGTCACATGTTTTCTGCATATAATAAACACTAATTCCACAAACGTATGTAGATCCTATGATTCTAATGAAATATACTTTGATTTTAAAATGTCACTAAATTCATGAAATTGCTTTGCACATATTTTTATCAACATTTTCTGAAAGAGCACTTAATATTATTTGGAGTCATGAAAAAAAAAGTATGTTAAAAATAAGCCTTCATACTCTAAGAAGATGGGAATTATTAGGCTTGATTATTTCTGATGTCC